GTACTCTGGTACTCTAGTACTAGAGTACATGTAGAGTAGTGAATTCAGATATTCTAGAGGGAAGGGAGATAGGGAATTGACAGGGGGGGGGTGAAAGCGAAAAACTATATATTGACCAAACCACATACTTGAAAGTAAAGGGACGACGACGTTTCGGTCCGTCCTGGACCATTCTCAAGTCGATTCTCACAATCGACTTGAGAATGGTCCAAGACGGACCGAAACGTCGTCGTCGTCCCTTCACTTTCTAGTGTGTGGTCTGGTCAACATGCTTCAGCCACGTTATTGTGACTCCTCGCCTGCAACTATTTAGTACTTAGTGATGCTAAGTATTAAATTGTATTAAAGCCTTCAAGATCGTATTTGACAAACTCTGAAATTCAAGATGTTTGATTTTTTTTTTTTAGGTTTTGAAAATATTTAAACGTGCCAGTGTCAATATCATATTTTTAAACAAATCTATTTGATTTTAAGGGTTTTTATGTTATCAAACATAACATTGAGATATTTTGCCTGTTCCTCGTAATTTGATGTTTATGTAATTTAAATAAGAGGAGAATTCTGTACAATAAAAAATAATTCTTTACAGCAACACGACAGATAAATTTAAAACGAGAAAAATAATTCGTCAAAGAGAAGCGAATTTCATCCAAACATACAACAAATAGTTTAAGGTCAGAACTTCTACTAAACCAACGAACATCGTTGATTTGGCTGTGAATATAATTCCAACCGGAGGCACATATATAAACATGACAACATCAGCATCAAATCTGACGCTGGCAAACATTAGAAAGAAAGTGCTAAACGAACTATGGCGTTCAGTTCCTGAACCGATTGTGTGCCTCTTGTAACCCTTGACACCACCGCCCACGGGATGGGTATGGGAAATGAATGAAAGAAGCCTAGCAGTGTGTTTTATGGTATGTGATGTTATGTTAACGGATTGGTCGAGTCAGTTAAACATGCAATGAATATGATCAGGACGGGATGATGTTAACCAGGCTAATCCGCCCCCAACCAGCTCTCCCTCTCTCTCTCGAAAGGCCTCTCTCTCTCTTTCGCTCTCTCTCTCTCTCTCTCTCTCTCTCTCTCTCTCTCTCTCTCTCTCTCTATCTCTCTCTCTCTCTCTCTCTCTCTCTCGTGAACCTAACCTAACCCAACCCACCCATCCCAACCTAATCAAACTTAACCTAACCCAACCCAACCTGTCCTAACCTAACCCAACAAACCCATCCCAACCTAACGAAAATAAGATATAAATATATTTAAAAAGATTTAACATTAGGACCGGGCGACCCGAGCAACCAATGCCTTCGGGAGTTTTAGGCAAAGCCTCATGTGACGCCCTCATTTTAAATGACTATGTACAATAACTCTCCTGTCTCAACCGGCAATGACTCCGTGATAAGATAACGGGCGATAACAGCTCTACGTCCAGATGCACTTCTTGAGTTGTTCAATGCATTAATCAATTTGCAACTCAGTTCAATTATTGCAAATCAAATCACCTTTTAAGCAATTAAGGTGTTCGTCTGTTATAAATATATTGACAAACTGTGTAACTTAATTCATATTTTGGGTGTGTGGTAGTGAGGATGTACTCACCTAGTTGTGCTTGCCGGGAGGGGGGGGGGTTGAGCCGATTTGGCTCTTTGGTTCCGTCTCTCAACTGGCCTTCAACTGGTGTACATACAGAACAGGGATGAAAATCCTGGGACTAGGATTGTAAATCAACCTATTCTTTAGCTTAATTATTACCTCACAATTTCAATCCTATCGACACCAACTAATAACTGCATTGGTTTAGTTGATTTAAAAAAAAGGCGCAAAGCTGACGTTATGTTCCCCCCCCCCCTCTCCCCAATAGGTGTGAACGTATGTGCATAAGTCATAGTACCCTGCACAGTCGCACAGTAACCAACTCATGGCTATGTTTGGCGGGGTTTTTGCAGCATAGAGGCGCCCTTGTGAACGACCCGTCGCCATCTCCCAGGCGGGTCATGTGTGTTTATAAACATTAGCGTCTCCATGCACCGAACTTTCAAACCCTCTCTCTCTCTCTCTCTCTCTCTCTCTCTCTCTACACCCGCATCCTCTTCCAGAATTTCATCTCCCCATCATTTCATCTCCCCCCATTTCATCTCATTGAGGTAACCTCAAGGTAACCCCATCTCTCTACCTCCCCCATCCTTTCCAAACCCTTTGGACATCAAAGCGAAAGCCTCCGCCAGCCTGCCCGCCCCATTTCCATCTCTTCCGCACTCACTACAAGCCTACACACTAAGGACAGGACACAGAACACCGTCACTCATACTGTGAGTGAACATACAACTATGGTGACGGTTCAGTGCACGCTACATCACCGAATGCCCAATTATCAGACCATTCAGACCCGTTGGCATGAGGTACCTGGAGCTTTGCAATTTATTCACTCTCGTGTTCTTGAGGATATCCTCATATGGCACCCAGAGTTTGTCAGTGCAGGCTACTGAATATATGGAACTGTATGTCTAACCATCCAGTGAGATGGGGGGAATTTTAGTATCATTGCTACCTTATTCACTCTTGTGTTGATGATGATATCTTCATAATGCACCGAGAGTTTGTCGGTGCAGACTACTTATCACACGCCTCTGTATGACTAACCATCCTGTGTGATGGGGATTTTTAGCATCACGTAGCTGGTTCTTGACACACTGTACTCCCCTTCATATAGTCTAGGGTAGCTGCACAAATGATAAGGTATTCACCTTATCCCTAACAGTATTCACCTTATCCCTTGTACGTATTCACCTTATCCCTTGCACGTATTCCCTTATCCCTTGCACGTATTCCCTTATCCCTTGCACGTATTCCCTTATCCCTTGCACGTATTCACCTTATCCCTTGCACGTATTCCCTTATCCCTTGCACGTATTCCCTTATCCCTTGCACGTATTCACCTTATCCCTTGCACGTATTCCCTTATCCCTTGCACGTATTCACCTTATCCCTTGCACGTATTCACCTTATCCCTTGCACGTGTTCACCTTATCCCTCGCACGTGTTCACCTTATCCCTTGCACGTGTTCACCTTATCACTTGCACGTGTTCACCTTATCCCTTGCACGTATTCCCTTATCCCTTGCACATATTCACCTTATCCCTTGCACGTATTCCCTTATCCCTTGCACATATTCACCTTATCCCTTGCACGTATTCCCTTATCCCTTGCACGTATTCACCTTATCCCTTGCACGTATTCCCTTATCCCTTGCACGTATTCACCTTATCCCTTGCACGTGTTCACCTTATCCCTCGCACGTGTTCACCTTATCCCTTGCACGTGTTCACCTTATCCCTTGCACGTATTCCCTTATCCCTTGCACATATTCACCTTATCCCTTGCACGTATTCCCTTATCCCTTGTACGTATTCACCTTATCCCTTGCACGTATTCACCTTATCCCTTGCACGTGTTCACCTTATCCCTCGCACGTGTTCACCTTATCCCTTGCACGTATTCACCTTATCCCTCGCACGTATTCACCTTATCCCTCGCACGTAATCACCTTATCCCCCGCACGTATTCACCTTATCCCTCGCACGTATTCACCTTATCCCTCGCACGTATTCACCTTATCCCTCGCACGTATTCACCTTATCCCTCGCACGTATTCACCTTATCCCTCGCACGTATTCACCTTATCCCTCGCACGTATTCACCTTATCCCTCGCACGTATTCACCTTATCCCTTCCACGTACTCACCTTATCCCTCGCACGTATTCACCTTATCCCTCGCACGTATTCACCTTATCCCTTCCACGTACTCACCTTATCCCCTCCAGGTACTCACCTTATCCCCTGCACGTATTCGCCTTATCCATACACACAGCAATCACAATAGCGTGATATATCAGGTGAGCATAAAGTACTCACTAAAGTACTCACTCGTAATTACTAAACTCATTTAGTACCTAAATGTGTTAATAAAAAAAGCGTCACTCATACTGTGAGTGAACATACAGCCATACTGACGCAGTGACGGTACAGGGGAGCGTCACTCATACTATGAGTGAACATACAGCCGTGTACAACTCCCCCCAATAGGAAGAAAACCCGCTGGGTTGTTCATCCTGTCACTTGTACCCAGACCACAGCTGGAACTTACTTAACTGTTTCAAATGAACTGGCTATCAAACAATGTATTAACATCTTATAACTCTTAAGTTTGCTTTATCTTAGGAGTGAAAAATGTTGGAATCTTTTGAGGATTGTATATTTGATTTGATAACAATGGTTGCGTTAGGAACTTAATGCGGGGGTTATACTACACGTGTTTCTAATGTATCTTAGATGGAAAGGCTCTGCACATCGTCCTGATAACGTACTTAAATCATACTTTTATAAGTTTAGAAGAATTCTACTTGCAAAGCCCTGTTCGAAGATATCTTGATTGGACAGGCTGTTATTGACAGGCACCTACATCTCGCCCATGGCAAGTCACCTGTCATTACAGCAGACAGCCTGACAGGAAAGCTTGGAAAAGGGAGCAGAGTTGTTAATTTAGAAAATAAAATAAAGGGTTTTAAAACGCAACCAATTCCCTATTTCAAACTGCCAACCCATTTCTTTCCACCCAAACACTTGGCGCGAGACTCAGACATACACACTTCATAAAAACAAGTTCTACTGCACACAACCGTTGATTGACGGTTGAGAGGCGGGACCAAAGAGCCACAGCTCAACCCCCGCAAGCACAACTAGGTGAGTACATCCGGTCGCTTGGTTTGCCCTTTGTTTACAAGTATATATCGCCCGACAATCAGCTGTGTGGCGCAAATAAAAGCCACTACTAGGGGGGTGGGGAAGCTGACGGCAACTCTCAGACCAAACATTCTGCTGATGATGATGTCTCAAGTTACGTTGGTGTGTGTATGTGTGTGTGTAGAAGACAGAGAGGAAAGGGGGGAATGGAAGGGATAGGAGGGGAGAAGGGATAGGAGGGGATATGTGCTAGCATCCCTTATATACCTTCGGGCGAGTCTTACATATGTACCCCAGAGCTGTCGTCATGCACCCAGGGAACTGTCTATATGTACCTCGGTTTCTATCACTATATATAGCCAAGGGACTATCTCCATCTCTACGCAACCCGGGACTATCTCTACGCATCCCGGGACTATCTCTACCCATCCCGGGACTATCTCTACGCATCCAGGGACTATCTCTACCCATCCCGGGACTATCTCTACCCATCCCGGGACTATCTCTACGCATCCTGGGACTATCTCTACCCATCCCGGGACTATCTCTACGCATCCCGGGACTATCTCTACCCATCCCGGGACTATCTCTACGCATCCTGGGACTATCTCTACCCATCCCGGGACTATGTCTACGCATCCTGGGACTATCTCTACCCATCCCGGGACTATGTCTACGCATCCTGGGACTATCTCTACCCATCCCGGGACTATGTCTACGCATCCAGGGACTATCTCTACGCATCCTGGGACTATGTCTACGCATCCTGGGACTATGTCTACGCATCCTGGGACTATGTCTACGCATCCTGGGACTATGTCTACGCATCCTGGGACTATGTCTACGCATCCTGGGACTATGTCTACGCATCCTGGGACTATGTCTACGCATCCCGGGACTATGTCTACGCATCCTGGGACTATCTCTACGCATCCCGGGACTATCTCTACGCATCCTGGGACTATCTCTACCCATCCCGGGACTATGTCTACGCATCCAGGGACTATCTCTACGCATCCTGGGACTATGTCTACGCATCCTGGGACTATGTCTACGCATCCCGGGACTATGTCTACGCATCCTGGGACTATGTCTACGCATCCTGGGACTATGTCTACGCATCCTGGGACTATGTCTACGCATCCCGGGACTATGTCTACGCATCCCGGGACTATCTCTACGCATCCCAGTGTATCGAGGCGAGACGTAAACATCAATCAACACTTGTAAACAACGAGGCCGCGACAATGGGCAATGACTTAGGCAAACACCGATTGAAGCAGTCTAAAGTTGATGACTGGAGCAAATCACTGTGTGAGAGCTAGCGGGTCGTAATATTTCCATGACCTCTTGTCACCATGAGTCGTAAGTGGGCACGTAGTAAGCTTTTGGTGAATACTGGCCACGGTTAGGCAAAACAGTCTTTGTTTACGTTTCTGGTTAGGATAACAGTTGATTTTTTTTTTACGGGGTGACACATCGAAAGAGAGCTGACTTGTAGGAGTCAATTTTTACTTAATTCAATCAACCTATCGTTAGGCTATGCTTGTCCAAGCTAATGCCGACCCCGGGGGATCTATTTGATGGTGCAGCTGCAGTGTATCTGATGGTGCAGCATAGTGTACCATACAGTGAACCATATTGTACCATACGGTGAACCATAGTGTACCATATGGCGCAACTGTAATGTACCTGAGGCTACAGTACATTACCTGAGGGCCACTGTACAGGTTACAATGGCCCTCAGGTAAAATCTGCCAATCCAAATATGATGTTCAAATGCGGTAAATGTATAAATCACATCAGTTCGGGGAAAATACGAACATCTTCAAAGTAGTACAAGCTGTACGTACACGACACACAGAGATCTAGCGTTATAACGGAACGACCGTGTTAGTGAATAATACACAAAGAAATCACACTCACGTGATGTATTAGTGAGAAAGTAAACAACGTGAGTTAAGACACAGCTGGAAATATTAAGTTAATTAGTTATAGTTAATAACGTCGCACTGTCAAATTTGTTGCTCGAATTGATTTTCTCAGTAAGCAATACTGGGGTCCAACACAACCCATTGTAGATGGACGGTGGTGGACCCCATACCCGTCCTGTTGGCAGTGTTGGACCCCATACCCCATCCCGTGGGCGGTGGCGGACCCCATACCCATCCCGTGGGCGGTGTTGGATCATTCCCATCCCGTGGGCAGTGTTGGACCCCAGTCCCATCCCGTGGGCAGTGTTGGACCCCATTCCCATCCCGTGGGCAGTGTTGGACCCCATTCCCATCCCGTGGGCAGTGTTGGACCCCATTCCCATCCCGTGGGCAGTGTTGGACCCCATTCCCATCCCGTGGGCAGTGTTGGACCCCCATTCCCATCCCGTGGGCAGTGTTGGACCCCATTCCCATCCCGTGGGCAGTGTTGGACCCCATTCCCATCCCGTGGGCAGTGTTGGACCCCATTCCCATCCCGTGGGCAGTGTTGGACCCCATTCCCATCCCGTGGGCAGTGTTGGACCCCATTCCCATTCCGTGGGCGGTAGTGGTAAGGGTTGCAGAGGCAAGAGTCCATAATAAATTTAATATCCACACAGATGTGCATGGCTGAACCAATATCCATTCACACACACTCTCTCTCATGAACGCACACACACACACACACACACACACACAGGGGCGCTGGTGGCTGAGTGGACGCTGGATACGTAATCCTGTGGTCCAGGGTTCGATTCCCGGCGCCGACGAAAATAAAAATTGGCAGTTTCTTTCACATTCATGCCCCCTGTTTCCTAGCAGTAAATAGGTACCTGGGAGTTAGACAGCTGTTACGGAGCTGCTCCCTGGGTGCGTGTGGAAAAAAAAAAATAGTAACAGTTGATCGACAGTTGAGAGGCGGGCTGAAAGCGCAGAGCTCAACCCCCGCAAGCACAACTAGGTGAATACACAACATGCAGGAGTCGCAATCCACGAATCCGGGTTCGATTCCCGGCCGAAAGGGGAAAGCGCCAAGCCATTACGACTATATAGCACTTGGAAGGGATCAGGATATAAGGATTTGGGATGGGACGGGGGAAAGGAATGGTGCCCAACCACTTGGACGGTCGGGGATTGAACGCCGACCTGCATGAAGCGAGACCGTCGCTCTACCGTCTAGCCCAAGTGGTTGGAGTTAAATAGCTTCTTGGCGGGGACCAAGAGCTAACAACTCGACCCTGCAAGCACGAATAGTTAACACACATAACCCCGGTAAATATATATACATTATATATATATATATATATATATATATATATATATATATATATATATATATATATATATATATATATATATATATATATATATATATGCATAAACACGTGGTCTGAGTCAGATCTATTCCACGCCCCAAAATAATAACTTATTAAAACTTCCACTAACCTCTTACAAGCAGGAGTTCCTCGGGGTAACTGGTATAAAAGACAAAACACAGACAACAACTTCACGAAATTATAGTCTTTAAAATGAAAAAAATATATATACAGCCGCCACACTAGAATACGTATAATAATTCTAAGAGGGCCACATACGACCGCCCTCCCCGACCTCAGCCACTATACTAACCAAACCCACGTTTTGCTGGCGTATATTTCCTCTAGTGGAAGGGCCGGGGGCTGCCACCTTATCTATTTTGCTGTTGTTAATTCATCTGTTGTATAATATCATTTATTTCCCCCAACAAAAATAGTATAATAAATTGGATGCACTATTCTCCTCGTTTATAGGAAGAGCATCAGAGAAAAAATTGATACCCCCCCAAAAAAAATTGGCAAGGATAATTTTCTGTGGTTGTCAGACGCAGATATTAATTAGATTTCCCTAAAAAAAATATATATATACATTCATATATACATATGTCGTACCCAATATATATATATATATGAATGTATATTTAGTGCCAGAACGCACTACTCGGCCTACTATGCAAGGCCCGATTTGCCTAGTAGGCAGTGATTTTCGTGATTTAAAAAAAATCCAATTGGTTTATTTCAATTAATATTATTATATAAAAACATGAATTACTGACTTAGTTATGTTAGTTTAGGTTAGGTTTAGTCATATGTCTACGTTAGTTTTAACTCAAATTGAAAAAAAATTAAATCATATGTAATGTAATAGGAAGTTTTATCATTTCATAGGAACAAATTTAGAAACACAACTTTCAGGAAAACTCTGCTTATTAGGCAAACGGGATAGTTGCATAGTATGCCATTTAGTGCGTTCTGGCTATTAGGTACGACATATATACAACATTATCCTCAAACAATAAGGTCTTCATTATAGTTATGTTCAACGCCTCGTTGAACATTAATGAAGAGTCATGTTCAATATAATAACTATATTGAACATCATTATAGCTATGTTTCACTCTCGTGAAATAAATGCCGACTCACAATCCCCCAACAAATCAACACATCAACGTGTCTGTACTGTAGAAGATTAGATAGAGGCTATTAAATAATGGTTTATGTAAAGCTGAGTATCTCAAATGATATCAATTCCACTATAGCCTGGTCGAGTTATATGATAATAAACTTTTATAATAATAAGCTACAGATAATAGAGATCTGTAGGTATAAGTTTTTATTTTGTTTTATTTTTTTATTAACAAGCTTAGGTATACACAGAAATGTGCTGCTACCCTATTCTATATGAAAGATTATACAGTGTAGATCAAAAACTAGCTATAAGTTAATTTCGTATTCCTATCTCACAGGACGGCCAGTCATACATGGAATCAGGAGAGAACATGAAATGTAAGGCTGATGATCAAGTTCAAGTTCAAGTATGTTTATTGAGACAAGAAAAAAATACATCTCAAAGGGATTGAGTAGCTATTTCTACTCCCCTGAGGCTGATGATCTAATAGCCTCCACTTGCAAAATCTGCGCACAGCACAAGAATATCTTCCAATATTCCTGAGTGTATGAAGTAATTACAGAGCTCAAAGTACCTCGTACCATTTGGTCTGAAGTCACTTAAAACAGGGCAATCACAGATATAGTGTTGGAGAATATGTCCCAGCTCTTGTTTACATAGTTTACAAGTGAAACGTTCACCACTGGGGGATTCATTACCTCCTGCCATAGACTACATAGTCTAGGCTACCTGCCATAGATATCGATATCCCAGCCTAATTCTGGCAATTACAATGCTACATTGTACAAACTGCGTTACATTCTGTTGTTTATTGTTCGCTAAAGCTTTTGGAAGAGTGACGATGTCGCAGTGATGAAAAGCCGAAACAAATGTGATATTAATAGGGTAAAAAGTCCACTACGGGCTCACTATAGCCTGTGCTACTTGGAAATTTTTGTTCCGAGTGGCAGAATCTAATAAGGTGCCATATATAAACACAAAATAAAACACCAAACAATGGATACAAATTGGATAAGTTTCAATTTAGAAAAGATCTGGAAATAGGGTTGTTGATTTATGGAACAAATTACCAGGTAACACAATAGACGTGGGATCATTTGTGTTACAACCCAACGATCAAATAGATCGTTGGGTTGTTTCAATCGAAGGATCTGTACTATAAGAAAGGATGTATCTTTGTCTGCCTTTTCAAGATTGGAAGCCAGATGCTCGGGGCTAGCCTCACCAAACTTTGTAGGGGAAATGGTCCGGGGTACGGGATGGACATAGGCTGTGCTGGTTGTAGTCAGCCTAAATTAAATATTTAAAAAAATGTCAGTCTGTAACCTAAACCTTTCAATAACCTGCCCCCCTCCCCATCCCGTGTTACGATTTTCATGACGTCTGAAATGAAATCGCGGATGTGTTTTCCATAGAGTTTGAAGTTACTTTTGCCGATTATCTGCGCATTTTCATGATTCACTATCAAAGTCTCCGAGACTACGTTTGATAGAGGGGAAGGGGGGCTTGACAGACAGGGTCCGTAACAGACAGACAGCCGTGACTGTCTACGGCTGACAGTCCCCACTCGGTCTGGGACAAGCCTAGTCTGACTGCAGGAACCTCTCGACAACCGATCTATCTACTGTTGTCCAGCTTAATGTCTTAAATGTACAGTTCAACGGGTATATATATGTGGGGACCAGGAGCTAAGCTCCGCTTTCCAGGAGATAGCCTCTGGCTATCTGCCTACCCCACCTAGACAGTGGCTTGTTTGATGGAAAGACACAGCCAGTCAGCTGCAATTATCAGCTTAGCAGAAAGCAAGATCACTCCACATGACCTGAAGACAACCTGTTACAATTAACACCTGAAAGCCGTGACTCTAGAATAATTATAGGACGACTGTCTGACGCCTACAATATCATGTATGACTCTCGTTGTATGTAAAATAATATACAAAAACAAATTTGTTTGTTTACCTACATCCTCTGGAAGGTTAGGATAAGATTTTACTACGACAGTTTCTTGACGTTGGGGAACCTTAGGAGAACTGGCAATAAGGCTCAAAACGGTTTCTCGCGGCTTTAGTTTCAGATTTTTCCTAGATTTTTTGGTAATTGCGATGAAATCACTGTTAAGATATCTCGGCTTTCTTGAACAACGATAACATGCTATCATCTCTAAGGGTCTCCTAGTACATATGGCTTCGACCTTAATTCACAACCGGGGATCCTGGGTTCGATTCCCCGAGCGCGACAGCAATGATCTGGCACGTTTCTATACATCTAATGCACCTATTCACCTAGCAGTAAATGTGAGTTATAGGCAACTGTTGTGGAATTGCATCCTGGGAAGGGTTACTAGTTCGACCTTGACTGCGATACAAGCCTAAAGTGTATATATATTATACATATAATGAATATTATATTGAATTATATTACAAACGCACAGGCTTCCTGTCCCACCGAATCATCATCATCATCATACCCCACAGACTCGAGAACCGCCACTGAATCCTCTCAACAACTACGCATGATATCATCCATCAGAACACTGAATTATAATTTAATTAATAGAACAAAACTACTACTGGCTTTTGTGGTCCCGGGTTCGAGGTACCAATGATCCAGATGAATAACAAAAATAAATGTAAACGCTCAAACGTCAAGGCTGTCAAACATTATCCTCCAAGAGCCAATGACATGAAGGATTACACGCCTTGACGGATGAGGCTGCATCATCCGCCACTAAAAAAATTAGAGAAAACTGCAACCAATGATGTACTACACATTAACATAAAATTAATAAAACACTTACATTAAGAATTCAGACACATGTAACACCTTCAGACACCTTCTTCTCTGTATATCCTCCATGATGTCAGGCACATCCACATACACCCTGTGTGGACGTTTTGACGTCATTTTGATGTCAGGTGCAGCCCCCACATTCCTTGTGTGGACGTTGTGACGTCACTTGATGTCATACACGTCCTATAAAACAACATATTATAGATTTTCGTTTGGTTAGTTAGGTCGTGTTCGGTTGGCTTGAGTTTGGTTCATTGGGTTAGGCTGAGTTTGGTGAGGTTAATGTGAGTAGGTTAGGTTGTGTTAGATTAAATTGACTTAAGATTAGGTTGGACTAAGTTATGCTGGACTAGGTTAGACTGGACTAAGTTAGGACTGGACTAGGTTAGGCTGGACTAGGTTACGCTGGACTAGGTTAGGCTGGACTAGGTTACGCTGGACTAGGTTAGGCTGGACTAGATTAGGACCGGACTAGGTTAGGCTGGACCAGGTTAGGCTGGACCAGGTTAGGCTGGACTAGGCTAGGCTGGACTAAGTTAGGACTGGACTAGGTTAGGCTGGACTAGGTTAGGCTGGACTAGGTTAGGCTGGACTAAGTTAGGACTGGACTAGGTTAGGACTGGACTAGGTTAGGCTGGACTAGATTAGGACTGGACTAGATTAGGACTGGACTAGGTTAGGCTGGACTAGATTAGGACTGGACTAGGTTAAAACTGGACTAGGTTAGGCTGGACTAGGTTAGGTTGAACCAGATTAGGACTGGACTAGGTTAGAACTGGACAAGGTTAGACTGGACCAAGTTAGGCTGGACTACGTTGGAATAAGTTTGTTTACAGAATGTCACTAACGTGGCATACCTTCCTCACGTCTCACACTCTACACTGACAAATAAACAACAACCCAGCGAGTTTTCCTTCCTACTGGGCGTACAATACACGCTGCTGGCTGGCGTTGTGTTTACTCACCGAATAATGCCCAAACAAACTCCCCCTTAAGGGCAAAATCTAAACATTTCCAACGATTTCTACTTTCCCTAACATGTAATTTGATAGTGATTTTGATTGTGTTCATCGTCGCCGTTGATATACGGACTTCCCAAATGGTTCAAGGGGTGACTAGTACGCTGCAAAGGGGTTCTGACATCTTAAATAGTGTTTACGTGACCTTCAGTGTCGCCGGACACGGCACGGGGTCACGAGGTACGTGTCCACATAGCCGCCAACACGGCTACAGCGTTTCGGACACATGCAAAAGCTATTAGAGTAGTTGCGGTTTTTCATTGAGAACTACTGTGGTTTTGGAAGTTAAGGGAGGTAAATGTAGAATATGGGGTGGGGAGGGGAGAGGAGGTGCCTTTCTTAGCCTCTTGGGTAGGATTATATA